GTTGTTTATTGTTATAAGGCGGCCGGACAGATTATGGAGGCATGACACTCGCCATCTTTTAATTTTTGTATCTATTTGCTTTCCATTTGCCTTCCATTTCGGTCGGTCTTTTTTATATATTATATTTTACTCGATAAAGAAATGTTGAATACCTGTGTGATCTATAAGGTCGTGGAGATGTAGATACTTGAATTCAAAGGCCACCTCTTACACTTTTTATTTAAACACGAATGGAAATCAGTTTGATTTAATACTAGTACATTGTTAACATAGAAACATACACTTTTTACATTATTTACAAATACATTTTTCTTGGAAATATAATAACTTAATACATGTTGCTTAAATTACTTTAATTTTTTTACAATGGCGGGAAACGCGTGTGGTGTTGTTGACTGGTAGATACGCAGTGACGCGGATGAGGAGTGGATGACGCTCATGACGTACTTATATGTTAAAGAACTTCCATATCGGCTGAGATAGTTCAGGCTACAGGGACGACTCTGTAGGGGTTATACGGAAATTAGGAATGCTGAATTTATATTGGATATAACGCCGAATGTATATTGATTGTAATGTTAAGTGTAATGTTGAATGTAATTCAACACCGCCGCTAAATAAATTGTCGAAAAATATGTATAGCCGCCAAAGTAAATCAATAAGATCTTCTATAACAGGAAGCAGCAACTTAATTTTTTCTGTTATTTTATTTATAGCCCTAGTTTTTTGTAATATGTTGACAGAGAGTAACTCACTAACGCTATATTTTTATAAATGTATCACTTTCTTGGTCGTAAAGTAAGTCTAAGTTCATACAAATAAAATCACATGGGCTCAATCAATTAATGCTAGTTGACATGTAAAGCGTAACTATATTAAAATCACCGATGAAAACATATTACTCAAATAATCAGCCCCACCTGTGGAATCCATTTAAAATTCCTTTAAATTGGAATTTCTCGCTCTGACTGTCCCCTATTGTTATATCAACTCTACGCTCCGATTTGGCCTGTGGTTTGAGTTGGTAGTAAAATTTGAAAAGTAGTGCTCTATTATACATTGAATACATTTCGTCAGAGCAACGTCAGGCTGAGCTTATTTCATGACGCTAAGCTGAAATGGGCTACGGTAGAGTTACCAGAATTCCAATGTGTTATTTTCCAGTGCCGTGTGTACATTAGTAAAATATTTTAAATCGGAAATACTCGTAAATAAAAAGTAAATATGTTTACTTTTGTTTATTAAATTTCTAATGAACTTTAAATTAATTAAACAACTAAAAATTAAAATTAATAAATTTTTATTTCAATTAAAATTGGAAAATATTTGCAAACTCGCAATTTCACTCGTCAGATGATTCCGTATTCACATTGAATATCATGAGGTAATCTGTATCAAATTATTAGATATTCTTTTTAAATTAACGCATCCTCCACCATCTTTGTCCACTTCTAGTGGTTATACTCCCGAAATTTTTTATTTTGCAAAACTTTTAACATTTTTTAACTTGGTGTACTCGTAACCCTGTTTTTACCGTACCCCAAATTATCTCTATGTAGTTTTATTTGTAATTATATGGACTTATGTGGTAATCTTAGTGTATCCACTTTCTTGAAGAAGAAATCTAAAAGAAATGTCAGTTAGAGTCTGTAAATTTTAATAATGATTGTGTAAAGTTTCGGTTTTGTCAATTTAGCATCATGCGGCATTCCACGTTAAATGAGCCAGCTAATCAAATCTGCCTTTTTAGTCTGACTTATGATCGATTTTTTAGTTTTAACATTGTGATAAATGGCTTTATCGATTACAAGTACAGTTCTCGGGGGCGGATTTGGGATTAACTGCCTTCTAGCCCACTGTGAAAAATTACTGCGATTCATTTCGTCATGGGAATCACACATAATTTATATATGTTTTTAATTCTATTAAAATCGGTCATGCATAGGAAAATTAATTGAATAGCTCATGAATGAGTTTAATTTCAGCCTGTCTAATTAAATTTTTTTACAATTTTTGATTTGGACGATAATAAGTTTATAGTTTGTATGTTCTTACTATTTTATTTATCCTATTTAAATACAACATCATGTTTTAAAAACAGGTATACACAAAAAGGATGCTTATGCGCCAGAACTAAACTTTTACGTGGAAGGTGCCAGTAGTAGAAGGGCATCTACCATGAGCCCCTTTCAATTATTTAAAAGAAGATGTCTGTTTAATATCTTTATTAATGTAATTGGTTTTTAATTGGTAAAGATAAGATCTTATATTAGCTCATTGTTAATTTATATTGTACCTCATCTCTACCTGGAACTGTACTTGGACGTATCAACCTCATTGGGTCATATCGTAAATACATAAATTAATTAGGTTAAATAGAAACAAGTAGGTATATTTCAGCAGAACAAGAAGCTAATTATTATTTACTTCAAAATAGTCGGAAAGGAAATTATTGCTTACTTTACTTCTCTACTAGCCGGAAAGTAACATTCCCTTAGCATGTGTAACTTTTACAGCTAGCAAATATCACTATATACTAATTGTCGGGCTCTAGACTTTGGTGTTGTAGCTTGAATAAGATATTGGAATTTATCCTCTAGAGCCATGTCCTCGTCCTCATCAATACGTTTAAATTGTGACCAAAATGTTAACCAATTCTTAATATCGCCGCAAAATTTAACAAATTCTATCTTTCGCAACTTTAAACTTGTTTTGTTACTCTTAACTGACTCTATCGTATCTGAATTAAATAGCTGATCTACAGAAATTTTAATGGACTTATACTTGCGATTAACATCATCCATGATCTCTACTTCTTGTAGAATAACTCTTTCATCACAAGCTTCATCCAACATATAACCGATTAACTGATCATGGAGATCAACCAAGGAAGACACCTTTTTTTCTAATATTTCAACATTGCATTTTAACACCTTCTGGTCAGGTTCCTTGCTCTTAAGAATCGTCTCCGTTTCATCGCAAATATTTTGGAAAGAAACACATACAACTCCAAAATACTTCTTGGTCTTATCCATCTCGATGGGATCACGTCGGGGTCACCAAAAATGTAAAATACAAAATGAACTAACCGTTCAAATATATTTTCAAAAATGATCCAAATATGGAATAGAACCAGAAACAGTAAAACTTATAAAAAACCAGATATTAAAAAATCGATTTGACTTTTTATTGAAAAGATACTTCTAAAACATATATCATATTGACAAATATAATCAAAGGAATCAAGTTAACAAAAACATATACTGAATGTTACAAAATAAAAATATGATTCAGTTTTAACAATTCTAGTACTAACCCTAAGAGAACATTCGTTTAAAAGTGAAGGTTTAATTTAAAAAAAAAACAGTGTACGTATGAAACGTTCATTATAGTATAAAAAAACCTGATAGTAGGGTATTTCCATTGACAGCATCACCGTCTTCCTATCCAGATAAAGAACCATTCATGTCAAATTAGCTATTATTAAGCCAGAAGGTTAATAAACCATTGCTCTAGTCAACCGATGTACTGTATTTCCACGACTGAGTCTACGTTGATATCCAGAGTGAAATACCTTCTGGTTGAACTCTTAAAATATTACAAAATGTGTCAATACAAATTAACTTAAGTTTCCTAAACTATACAATTAGTTATCCAAAATTTACAAGAGCCAGAAACAAATAAGTACCTAGGATGAATAAAAAATAAGATTGGCTTAACAAGAGCCATAAATGGTATTAGGCACTCAAATAATTAAAATTCTGTTACACCAAGAAATCGCTAAACAGAAGGTGTACAAGATTACTAAATATATACAAAACATACATTTCTCGTGAAAAGTTAAACTGGTAGCCTTTTAAGTGTAAAGAAAAGAATTCACTCCAATATTACATACTCAAATACCGATGGATCTTCCTATATGATACATCAAACTAATAACTCAAAATCTTTTAAAATTAATCACAATTACAATTTTTATGTTTATAAATTCCTTAAGTTGGTGTAGATTGGGCCCAAAATACAATGGGAATTTAACTAAGCCACGAAATTCCCCAAAAATATTATATACCCGTTCTTCCTCAATTAATACTAGAGTAAAATCTAAAATCCCCTTTAATAGGATAACTCGATGGTTATATAAAACAAAGATTTCACTCTGATTTTCTTCTTCTTTCAGAAACACCTAACAAATCTCGCACGATATCTCCCCTCTTGTCTTGATAAATGACAAGCCGAGTGTGTTCAGTAATTCATCCTCAAGGATTTATTAGCATATATCTTAGAGATTATTTACAAAAGATTACCCTACAAACTATATCTATATACAATATAACTACATTTGGAAACTGCCCCTGACAAAAATCGATACAAAACCGTTAGCGAAAAATCTTCTAAGCGCGTACAACCCTACACTTAAACGAATACGACTTAAAATCGCTCACTAGGGAACTATCATTACCTGGAACTCGGAACCATAAATGGAACGACATACAACACATGACACTGTCAACTATCGTGTCCCGTCATTGACTGACATTAAATGCTGTTTTTCCCTTAAAGCTTGCTCATTCAATTCAATGAAAGTGCACAATGCACTTGTAACTTCCTGAGAGCCTCTGCCTGCGACATCTTCTGTCCAATTAAAAAAATAACCTCTCTCGCCATTATTTGTGGATACGGCATGAATCCCTAGGTTATAAAACCACATCTGCCGGAGATAGAATGCCTTGGATGTGGTTAACTTTGGTAATGGCATGGTCTGTTGTAGGTCAACTGTTATGTAGATTATTTCGGGATTGTCGGTAGCTTTCTTTCTATCAAGTCTTTGAAGGTGAAATGCCGCTTCATAATTTTCTTTATGTGCTGTGTTTGCTTCACCTGAGTCGCATAAGCTACAAGTATTACTGCGTGGCATTCCAAACGAATAATTGAAAAAAGTAGAAAAAATATTGATGTATGAACATTTTTTTATTTTATATTTATCCAGTTTTTTCTCTGCTTCACATTTTTCTAGGTATAGGCTGTACCTTTTTGGACATGTTTAGTGTTGGTGATAAGAACAGCTTATGTGGATTGTTACTGCGGGAGTAATGGGACTGTTCCGCTGGAAATGACTGAATATGTGCTTTCACAAAGTTTATTACTTCGTCTTCAATCCTATGGGGTCTGCTATAATGTTTACCACGTGAATCAGGAGAAGGTGCTGATTTACCCGCTTTTAATTGGTTTTGGAGTAATTCAACTTTTTTTCGACCAACACCATACAAGGAGCATAAGGCAGATTTACAAATTTGGTGTGTTATTCCCTTACATGTAATTTTAAATTTGTATGATGCACTTTTGTGCTTGGTTGCATTGGTACGTTGCCGCTGTATTGTGCACTTTTCAATACTTTTAAACAGTAGCGCATTTTTGGCATTAATATCCAACCGATAAAACCTGGAATGTATTTCACGGCAAGTTTCAGCATCAATCTTTTGTCCGCACTTAAACCTGCACGTTTCAGTATATAGTAACTCAAGCTTTACGGTTTTTGCTGGAACTACCGTTCCTTTATATGAAATATATTCCTCACCATGTGCACGTGCAGAAGCTGATTGCTTACACTTCCAACTCGTTTCATCTCTTTTTCTTTTTCTCGACTGTTTCTTTTTCTCACTGTTTCTTTCCATTTCATAAGGTTGTACTTCGTCTACTATATCAATAAAATTCGGTTCAATCTCTGCAGTCACATGAGTTGAAACCAAGCTGCCTGTCTCCATCTTATTAGTGTCATTTTCTTTTCCAGCCGTCTGTGCTGTCGAGAACTGTGATCCTAATTTTTCATTAGGTTCATCCTCTTCACTACTGCTAGTCAAAATATCTGTTGGGGGAACGTATTCCTTATCTGAAATAAAATTACGCAACTTAGCTTACAAACCTACCTTTTCCTTACAAAACTACTCCAAATTTTCCTTACAAAACTACTGCAGAATTACCTATGCAAATATTATTAAAATACCTACTATTCTATATATTTAATTCTGCTATAATTTTTAGTCTAGAAAATTATTATTATTATTATCGGGACTAAAAGAAATTTTACAGCAAGCGGAAAAAATCAAATTAACAACATATATACGGTATGAAATAAAATGTTGGATAATACACGTCTGTAAAAATGTTATTGTGGGTACTCATTTAGTATTTCACTTACCTTCAAACCCCTCAGGATCCGATTCACTTTCTGAGTGTTCTAAAAAAGTTGGATTATTTTGTTGCACACTTAAAACCATTTTTTTACCCCTGGACAACATTTTTTTATTCAAATTATTCGAACTAACTGCAAGCACCACACCAGATCAACTAGCTACTGTCTTACTTGTTACTCTCTGACATTTTGAGGTTATGTGGTAGACAACTTCATACCAATTTAATGTATGAAGGATCCATGTGCACTTAGCGCTTTCATTCATTGAGAAAAGTTCAGGTAATATGTACTTAACTCCTTCATGCACTGTTATCTTTATAATTTATCATTGATAAGAGTTGAAACGAATATATGTGATGTAATATCACCTTTCAAGTGTCTTTCAACAAAAATCTAGAAATATCCAAAAATGTAACTTAACACCTTCATCCACTGGGCTCTTCAATTATTTCCGGTTTATTTCTAATGTTGTTGCATACATTATTAATTTTTCCAATAACTGTGCTCGGGTATTCATTTCTTCGTTGTACACCTCTGATTTAAGGCAGCCCCATAAAATATAATCCAGAAGTGTTGATCTGGAGATCTTGGTGGCCAATTGGCGAAACCGCCTCGACCTATTCAGCGACTTGAACAAACATTTAATGTTTGGTGTGGAATTTTTAAAAAATCACTTAATACCCAAGCACAGTTAAATCATTGTTTTCTAAATAGATGGATAGGTCGAGGCGATCCCGTCAATTGGCCACCAAGATATCCAGATCTAACACCTCTGTCGAGATGAGAGAACAGTTTTCTCTCGCCCTACGAGACGAGACGAGAGAGGCTACTCTTTCATCTCGTGTTATCTCGCGGTATCACTAAAAAAATAGACGTTGAATTTTTCGTTTAATTTTCATTTAAAAATTATCAAATACAAAATAAGTAAGAAAATATTTTTGACGTGATAAGATGAAAAATTCTTCTGAGGTGGCACCAGACTTCTTCTGAGGTGGCACCAAAGACTTCTTTTGAGGTGGAACCAAAGACTTCTGAGGTGGCACTAAAGACTTTTCCTTTTTGTGGTAAAACCAACAAATTTTGACTTAGGTTAATCTTGCAATCAACAAAACGCGTACGAGCATAATAACTGTAACGGGTTTCTGCAAAATTTTGACCTAGGTTTGTCTTGCAGTAAAGAATATCCTACAAGATTATTTAGGAATAGAAGAATGTAAAACATATTTTGACTTATGGTAGTCTTCATTTAAAGAGGTGGCTAGTTTAGTTACCTATAATACTTTGAAACTAAATATGTTGGTATTGTATTTCTGCATTTCAAAAGTTCAAAAAGGAACAACAATATTTTTAGTTATGTTGATGTTGTATCAGGAAAAGTATTTTCAGGCAAAATTCAATAGTAACACTTCTGTTATTTATGGGACATTCTTTCGATTTAGAGATATGTTGGTATTGTATTATCAAAGTTAGCATCTATAACACTATAATACCGCACAAATCTCAAAATCAATAAATTTTAAGTTATGGTGGTCTTGTACTCATAGTGCGATATGTCAAGAAAACATTCACTGAATATATCGATGTCAGACATGTTTTTATATACATCTTGATGTGAGAAAATCGTGATAAATGATATCCCTTAAGATAGATGTTCTAAAATGTTTCGTGAATGGATAATGTTTAAATAAATTTTACTAAAAGGTAAAAATATTAATAACTTTGTTCAGATCTAGCTTAGTCTTATTAGACAAAATTTATATTTATGTAATTTTTGAGTATTTTGAAGATGATTAATTAAAAATAATAGAAAATTAAGTACAATGGTAATAAACAAAGAAACCAAGAACATAATACATAAAGTGAGTCATGAATAAATGTACTTATTTTTAGAGATATAAAATAAACAGTACAAAGAGATTATGTTATACAGGGCGGCACGGGTAGCGAGAGGATGTCCGCAGGATGGAGTGCCGTCTCCACTCCCTTTGATCCGTGTAGTGGACGGGCTGCTAAGGGCTCTCCAAGATATGGGACATGGAACACTGGGATATGCCGATGTTCTAGTGATCATGGTATAGGGAAAATACAACACTATAGTAAGAGATCGAATGCAAGAGGCTCTAAATATAGTAACAAAATGGACAGAGGTGGAAGAACTAAACATTAGCCCAAAAAATCTGACATAATTGCATTAACCCGCAGGAGGAAATTGGAGGGACTAGGGCCTCTAAACCTAAGAGGTGCAAGCATTCAGCTTAAGGAGGAGGTAAAATATCTTGGGGTCATGATTGACTCGAGACTTACCTGGAACCAGCATCTAGAAAAACCTACAAGGAGAGCGGAAACCTCGTTAATGATGGCAAGGCGATCCTTTGGAAAATAATGATGGTAAAAACCAGACATGGTATATTGGCTTTATAACATGGTGGTGAGACCGATAATAACATACACAGCTTTGGTGTGGTGGCCAATGACACAGCAAAGGAAAGCAATAACGAGGCTAAGCAAGGTACAAAGACTTGCCTGCCTCAAAATAACGGGGGCAATGAAAACAACCCATACAGCTGCAATGGAAGCACTAATAGATCTGCCACCTCTTCACTATGTGATACAAGAGGAGGCAAGATTAGGTGCTTACAGATTAGGGAATACACTGGGAAATCTTGACATTAGGCCGGTCACATGAGTATCTCAAGGTTAGTGACAGGAGACGTGCTAGACATGAGATCAGACTACATAACCAAGATTTACTCTTTTAATACTCCATGTGAGGTTCTAATACAGGAAAGAGTAGAGATCACCATAAGGGAGCCCAATGCCAAATGACAGGAACAAACCTGGTATACAGACGGGTCTAAGACTGCGGAAGGCACTGGGGCCGGAGTATTCTCCAAAAACCCTGATACTTACTATAGCTATGCTATAGGAATACATTTCTCGGTATTTCAGGCCGAGGTATACGCAATTTTGCAATGTGCAAAAACGAACAATGAAGGAGCTGTCGAAAAACAGCAGATTCAAATAATGTTAGACAGCCAAGCGGCACTTAAGGCCATATCGAGTCAGAAAGTTACGTCGAGGCTGGTATGGGATGCATCGAAATACCAAGAATACTGGCAGACTGAAATAGAGTAAAACTATTTTGGGTGCCTGGTCACCAAGGAATCGAAGGCAACAAAAAGGCTGACGACGAACTTGCAAAAAGAGAGTCAGAAGAAACACCGAAACGAGACACAAACCCAGGAGTACCAAAAAGTACAGTCCGTGGTTTCATAAACGACTGGATTCGGGGACAACATATTAACTATTGGGGAAGTATCCAAAAACAGGCACATGGAAAAGACTTCATAGGCAGACCATGTCCCAAAAGAACTGGAGAACTACTGTTTATGAATATGAACCAGTTGAAAGTGATAACAGGGCTCATAAATGGGCACGCCCTAGTAAAAGGATACTTGAACAAAGTTGGCATGTACAATGGGGAACTCATGTGCCGACTATGTCACAAGAAACCAGAAGCAGCCAAACACATATTGTGCGAATGCGAAGCTCTAGATCACAAAAGACAGGCTCTTTTTGAACAATCCCAGGTTAATCCAACAACGTATAGAACCTACTTACCCAATGACCTGTACCAACTTGTACAAGGTACATAGGTGACAGAGTGGGTGCTATAAACTAACATGAAGTAAAACACAATAAGTCAATAGGCTTCAGTGTTATTCTGAGAAATAGTCAGACGAGCACAGGAGAGAAAAAAAAAGGGCCGAATTCTAAGTTAATACTTCTTTTTAATAATAATACTGTAAGGATAATTTTATTTTCTATCCAAATTTAATAAGTTTTATTTTACGAAATTTTACTTTTAAACGCACGAAATATTTGTCTTCCAAAATAGTCACAGCTTATGTTCACGTTGACACTATAAAGGCTCGTTTTCATCGGACATAATAATTTCATGACACTTTAAGTCATGACAATATGACATATTATTTAGTTGTTGTTTAAGAGCTCTTTCACACGGGGATACTATATGCCAGATACGCGTATCCGAGATATAGAATCGCGGTCGAAAAGTTGGGCTGCTGTATCGAATTCACGCATCTCTACACTCAGTACTAAAATGGTCACAGTAGCGTGCCTAGGTTTAATAATAATAATAATAATAATAATAATAATAATAATAATAATAATAATAATAATAATAATAATAATAATAATAATAATAATAATAATAATAATAATAATAATAATAATAATAATAATAATAATAATAATAATAATAATAATAATAATAATAATAATAATAATAATAATAATAATAATAATAATAATAATAATAATAATAATAATAATAATAATAATAATAATAATAATAATAATAATAATAATAATAATAATAATAATAATAATAATAATAATAATAATAATAATAATAATAATAATAATAATAATAATAATAATAATAATAATAATAATAATAATAATAATAATAATAATAATAATAATAATAATAATAATAATAATAATAATAATAATAATAATAATAATAATAATAATAATAATAATAATAATAATAATAATAATAATAATAATAATAATAATAATAATAATAATAATAATAATAATAATAATAATAATAATAATAATAATAATAATAATAATAATAATAATAATAATAATAATAATAATAATAATAATAATAATAATAATAATAATAATAATAATAATAATAATAATAATAATAATAATAATAATAATAATAATAATAATAATAATAATAATAATAATACTCTCCCTAATTCACCCCCTTACGAGTGAATTTCAACCCCTGAAGTCGACTGAACGACTTGTGTAGGGGAAGGGACGGCTATTATTATTTGCCGTGGCGCTCCGGGGCGACTTAAAGATGATTGATGATGCCATTTGACTTACAGGTGAGGAAAACCCTCACCCACCATCATCAAGACGGTAATGTATGGCGAATTTTTTTAATCTGCATGTCATATCAACAGAAATTGAATTTCTATTAATACGCCACACAT